GTGGTCTGCTAATACAGGGGGGTGGGGAGGGCCTCTACAATAGGACACAGACATGAGAATGACTGGAATATGTCTGAAGGAAAAGCAGAATTTTTAGAAAAGCTCTACTGGGTAATTTTTAGGTCAAAGGGTGTACATATTTTAAATTGCGATGATCTTGTCAAATTTCATTTTTTAAAAATTTATGTATTTCATATTAACCATTCTTAAACAAGCATCCCTGTTTCATCCATCATCACCAAAAGGGATAGTAACCTTTCCTTTTAAGCCTTATTAATATGGTACAAAATACATTGTATCATCTTAATCTATAATTTGTTCATTTTTAGTAAGGCTGAGCACCGTTTATTATCCATTTATATTTTTTTGGTAAATTGTTTAATATGATTTGCAATTTTTCCACAGGCTATTAGCCATTTATTAATATAATACAGATATTTATTGTTTGCGGTTTACTTTTTGATCTTTGTATTTTTTTGGCATGCAAAATTTAAAATATTTTTTTTACCAACTATTTTCATTTGAGTTAATGTTTTGTGTCATGCTTAATGGCCTTCATCACTTGCTTATCCATATTTCTAAAACACTGAAAGTCAATTTATGCTTAAGGCCTGAAATTAGGATCCAGCTTTAAAAAGCAACAAAACAGTGCCTAGCTGGTTGTTCCCAGGCCATTAATCATCCTTGTGTTTTGGCTCATCTCAATTGACTTACTATGCCCCTATTATAATAAACCAAATTTCCATAGGTTCTTGGATCTATTCTGGCATCAATCGCACTGCTAATGTCTGAAACCTTGCTTAATGCCTCTTAGGCTAAAAACCTCCCTCAGACGCTCCTATATCCCAGACGTTTTCAGATTTTTTTTTTCTTTCAAATTAATTACAGAAACAATTTTCCCCCAAAATTGATTTTTAAAAATCCTAGTGGGATTTTGATTGAAAATCCATTAGCGTTAATTACTTTGTTTTTTTAAAATATATATTTTTTATTTATTTATTTTTAGAGACAGTGGAAGAGAGAGTGATAGATAGAAACATCCATGATGAGAGAGGAACATCATTGATTGGCTGCCCCCTGCACACCCTCCACAGGGGATCGAGCCCGCAACCTGGGCATGTGCCCTGACTGGGAATCGAACCAGTGGCCTCTTGGTTCCTGGCTTGATGCTCAACTGCTGAGCTATACCAGCCGGGCAGTGTTAGATTACTTTTGGTGAGAATTATGTTATAAAATAAAAAAATACTGTTTTTCCAAGAATTAGATTTATTCAAATGTTCATGCCCTTAATAGTTATAATTTTCATGTCATACGTTTCTTTTTAAAAAATATATTTTATTGATTTTTTACAGAGAGGAAGGGAGAGAGATAGAGAGTTAGAAACATCGATGAGAGAGAAACATCGATCAGCTGCCTCCTGCACACCTCTTACTGGGGATGTGCCCGCAACCAAGGTACATGCCCTTGACCAGAATCGAACCTGGGACCTTTCAGTCCACAGGCCGATGCTCTATCCACTGAGCCAAACCGGTTAGGCCTATTTCTTAAATTTATTCCTAAGTATTTTTTGTTCCCTTTAGCTGTGTCCCACAAACTTAATATTGTTGTATTTTCATCACATTCAGTGTATTTTTTATTTTTATTTTTGAGACTTCCTTGACCCACAGTTTAAACGTTTTTGGAAGTTTTGCTGTTATCTTTATTTGTAGCTTAATACCATTTTAGTCAGAGAACCCATTCTATAATTTTAATTCTTTAAAATCTCTTGAGGTTTATTTTATGGCCCAGCATATGGTCTGTCTTGGTGCGTGCTCCACGGGCTAGAAAAGAATGTATCTTCTGCTGTTGCTGTGTGTTCTATTCCAATCAAATTCTGGTAGCTGACGCGTCATCTTGTGTTTTTGTTTGTTTTTTATATCCCTGCTTATTTTGTATTAGTTCTATCAAATGCTGAGAGAAAGGCACTGAAGTCTCCAACTGCATGTGGATTTATCTTTTTCTCCTTTCAGTTTTTACTAGATGCATTTAAAAAAATATATATATTTTTTATTGATTTCAGAGAGGAAGGGAGAGGGAGAGATAGAAACATCAATGATGAGAGAGTATCATGGATCGGCTGCGTCCTGCATGCCCCCCACTAGGGATTGAGCCCACAACCCGAGCGTGTGCCCTTGATCAGAATTGAACCCAGGACCTTCCAGTCCAGAGTCCATTGTTCTATCCACTGAGTCAAAGCAGCTAGGATTGGGCATGTGCTCTTGACCAGAATCAAACCTGAGACCCGTCAGTCCACAGGCCGATGCTCTATCCACTGAGCCAAACCAGCTAGGGCTACTGGGCTACTGGATGCATTTTGAGGCTGTTTGGTGTATAAATCTTTAGGATTGTTGTCTTGTTGGACTGAAACTTTTATTAGGTAATTAGAGGCCTGGTGCACAAAAATTTGTGCACTCGTGGGGATCCCTCAGCCCGGCCTGTGCCCTCTCGCAGTCTGGGACCCCTCGGGGGATGACCACCTGCTCGGGTCCCCACTGGAGTGCCTGGCCATCCTGGGTGAGTGGCTGAGGGCCGTTTGCAGGCTGGCCACAGCCCCTTCAGTGTGCGGGTCCCCACTGGAGTGCCTGGCCATCCTGGGTGAGTGGCTGAGGGCCGTTTGCAGGCTGGCCACAGCCCCTTCAGTGTGCGGGTCCCCACTGGAGTGCCTGGCCATCCTGGGTGAGTGGCTGAGGGCCGTTTGCAGGCTGGCCACAGCCCCTTCAGTGTGCGGGTCCCCACTGGAGTGCCTGGCCATCCTGGGTGAGTGGCTGAGGGCCGTTTGCAGGCTGGCCACAGCCCCTTCAGTGTGCGGGTCCCCACTGGAGTGCCTGGCCATCCTGGGTGAGTGGCTGAGGGCCGTTTGCAGGCTGGCCACAGCCCCTTCAGTGTGCGGGTCCCCACTGGAGTGCCTGGCCATCCTGGGTGAGTGGCTGAGGGCCGTTTGCAGGCTGGCCACAGCCCCTTCAGGGTGGGGGGTCCTGCTGGGGTGCCTAGCCAGTCTGGGTGAGGGGCTGAGGGCTGTTTGCAGGCTTGCCGGAAACAGGTATCTGGGATTTGTCTTCTATAATTGAAACTTTGTTGCCATGAGTGGAGGCCACAGCCGGCTCAGGGCAGGCAGGAAGCTTGGCTTCCTCCATTGCCTGGACAACCAAGCTCCAGCTCTGTGGCTGCTTGGTTGGGTTAATTTGCATATAGTCGCTCTGACTGGCTGGTGGGCGTGGCTTAGGGCATAGCAAATGTACGGTCAATTAGCATCTTTGTCCTTTATTAGTGTAGATGTCCTCTTTGTCACTGGTCTGGGCTGACTTTTAGAAGTAGATATTAGCAGGTCTTTTTGATCCAGTGAATTTGGAGTGGGGGCCGAAACCTGCATTATAACAAACTTCCCAGATGATTTTTTTAAAGCAGGTATTACTCAGAATTCTTACTTGCAGACAATAGAAATTGACTCTGGTTAACTTAGAAAGGAACTCATTGGGAGACTATCCAGTAGCATCCACTGGACTGCTCGAGTCCTGCCAGAAGCAGAGCCCTGTGGCCCTCAAGGGAAACCAAGAAGACAAAGCAGTTGTTGTCCCTGATCCCAGCTGGTTGAGCAGTTTATGAGCTAAACTCGACGGACCCATCAGGGTGTCACACCACCTAGGACTTTGAATCTGGTGCAAAGGATATGAGGTGGGAGAGTTTAAAGTTCATTTTGTGGGTGTAAGAATTTTGATGTCCAATAATAAAAGGGACAGCAATGGTAGAATTTAGGCACATGCCTAACTATCATATGGTTTGGTCATGATTCAGGCTGCCCAGTCTCTTGGTTTCTGCATCTTTTCCTTTTTCTGAGCCCAGTTTCCCTGCCTTTTAGATGGGGACACACACCCACACACACACTTACACAACTCCTATTTCGGGAAAATTGTATGTACTTTATTTTGGGAAATAAAAATCAGCAATGATACCTAGGCCAACTACAAAATAATGAGGCTAATATCATGGGTTCTATCACATGCCAAATGCAATTATTTACTGTTCTGGAAGGCCACAGGCCTATCTGGAAGGCCACAGGCCTATGCAAAGGACAGGCTCTCAAACTGCCTATCTTGGGAGGACGTAAGTGGTAAGAGCATTATGCTATGTGTCAGGAGTCTGTATGTGACTTTGGACAAGTGATCACTTAGCTCTGACTCTAGGCTCATCTGTAATGCAATGAGGTTGGACTAGAACAGATAGTTTCTAGGCCTCTCCAAATTGCAATTTTCTGTGACACCAGAGCCTTGCTGCTCCTGTGGCTTCAGGTCATTTTTGTGAGAGTAGTTGACAACTGCCAGGTGCCTGGCTGTTTGCTAACTTGGGGGCACAGTCCTGCAGAAACTGACATGTGAGATGGAGTGTATGAACCTGCTTGCCATTACTAGGGTGAGGATCCAGGCCAAAGGATGTATGTAGAGTGACAGAAATCCATTCTTACTGTGGGAAAATGGTCACCATATGGTTTTGTCATACATGCAGTGAAGCATAATGGACAAGACATGTTATGTTTTCAGAGAGACCCTGAGATTATCTTATCTTTCTTCTAAAACAAACAAACAAAAAAACTTTCTCCTGGTTCATCCTGTCAGAATTGGAGAGGGAAAATGGATGTTTGGCAGAGGGGGTCCACAGAATGGATGAAAGGGTTAGAAGTTAAGCAAGCTGCATTGGTATGCGAGAGGGGGTGGGATCCTGGTTTGCTCTGGAAATGCCTGAGCAAACTTAGACTTGTCTCTGCCTGAGGGTGGGTGCAGAGGCAAGTCTAAGCTGGCCAATGCATATTACCCATCCCAGTTCATGGAGGAATCCCACAAAAGCACAACACAGAGAACGGCTATTAAGGATCTTCATTTATATGTTTGGTGAATCCCCTTTGACGTAAGGATCAGTTTAGAAATGACTGGGGCACAATAAATTAAGTCATTCTTTGTGACTTGCAGGTTCTGATGAGCGCATCGTTGCTGGGGGCCCTGTGTCTTTTCTCATCCGTCTGTGTTGTGTGTGCCATTTCAGCATTTACTCTCCCCATTGAGACCAAAGGTCGGGCCCTACAGGTAAGTGATGCAGGGACCTAAAACCCTCAATCCCCACTTTTAGAACAAAGAAAATGAACTTGGAGTATGAAAATCCTTTTAAGCAGACATGATTATTCATGGGCTAACACTGATATTTGTTTAGTGTGTCCAGTAGAAAAACTGGGTATCCATTTTCCCCACGTGTAACATTGAGCAGCACTAAAGTTTAACTATATCCACCTCAAACCTGCTTTTGGTAAAAGTTATAGCTTGATCCAGGGACCATGGTGAATGATAGTTGTTGAGGCCTCAGCATTCTACCCTTCCCACTTTTCCACCTGGACCTAAGTGCCGCTGCAGAACTGAAGGTGGCCCAAGGAGCAGAAATAGCGGTTTGTGTTGCCCTTTGAGTGACGGTGTTGACATACTAGTCCAGCTACCTTTCCCCTAGTACTTTCGGCCACTGTGGTAAGAGTCAAAAGCTTCAGCTGCGCCAGTTGCACTTCACAGTCAGTAGACACTGCCTGCCTACTGTATTTCACAAAGTACATAAAACAATATGTACCGAAGTGTAAGGTATGTTCCATGGGCCAAGTTGTAGAGGACAGGGTCTCTCCTATCCCTGTGCCCTTATAAAAGTACTAGAGGCCTGTTGCATGAAAAGATTCATGCAATAGGCCTTCCCTTCCTCTGGCTGCCTGCACCGGTTTTCCTTCGGCACCGGGGACCCAGGCCTTCAAAGCCTTCGCTGCTCTGGCCGGAGCCACCTTCAAAGCCTTTGCTGCTCCAGCCGGACCCGCTTTGATAGCTGCTCCAGCCGGAGCCACCTTCAAAGCCTTCGCTACTCTGGCCGGACGTGCTTTGATCGCTGCTCTGGCTGGAGCCACATTCAAAGCCTTCCCTGCTCCGGCCGGAGCCGCCTTCAGTCTCCATTCCACCACTTCCCGCCTACATATGCAAATTAACTGCCATCTTTGTTGGCGGTTAATTTGCATATTTTGCTGATTAGCCCATGGGAAGCATATCGAAGGTACGGTCAATTACCCTGTTTGTCTATTATTAGATAGGATAGGTGGTGGCACTGATGTTTTCCTGCTGTAAACATGAAGCTTATTGCTGGACGCAAGGGTGTGCGTGTGCCTATGTGCATTGGTGGGGGTGGTGGGGGAGGGGAAGGCAGTTGGTGTTGATCTTGAGCTGCTGTCCCTAAATGAGGCTGTTCAGTCATGATGCTTCTCTGGCTGAATGTGATTTGCTCTCTCCTGTGTCCTATTCATAGTACACGACAGACACATTAATATTGGTACTGATGTGTTTTGTTGTCTGTGAGTAGATATAAGGAAGGCACTTTTGAGTAAAGGAAGAAAACACACACCACTCTTGATTTTTTCCCCTAGGTCCAAGACATGCTACTCCATTTTTAAATACCTTAGATTATCTGTAAGGTAATATACATTTTAATCACAGATTAGATAACCTGTCATATAATTACAAATTTAAGACTGTGTTTAGGTTCTATACTAGGAAAGGTAATCCATTCGATGATCCATATAATTCCTTTTAATCTTATATGAAGGGATTATCATATCCTTCACACAAATGAGGAAACTAAGGCAAAGGTAAGTTGAGTAACTTGTATAAAAGAACACGCCAGTATTTAGTAGTACTGGAATTTAAAACAGATTGTAGGGACTGGGAATTGCTTCACACAAATGAGGAAACTAAGGCAAAGGTAAGTTGAGTAACTTGTATAAAAGAACACGCCAGTATTTAGTAGGACTGGAATTTAAAACAGATTGTAACGATAGGGACTGGGAATTAAACCTGCAACCTTTCGGCGCTCCAGCTGGGCACACAGGCCAGAGCAAGTGATGCTAAATTTTAATCTAGTTTTCCATACTCATTATTATTAAGTAGTAACACTACATATAAAAGGAAACCAGGCCCTAGCAGGTTTGGCTCAGAGGACAGAGCATCAGCCTGTGGACCAAAGGGTCCTAAGTTTGATTCTGGTCAAGGGCATGTACCTTGGTTGCAGGCTCTTCCCAGGTCCAGGCCCTGGTCCGTGTGCAGAAGGCAACTGACCGATGTGTCTCTCTCACATTGGAAAAAATATCCTTGGGTAAGGATTAAAAAAGAAAAAAAGATTATTCCCTCTTCTGTGGACTGGGACATGATTTTACCATTGTGATGGAATCATTTTACATGTCTGTTTAGAAGACTTTTTAATATAACTTCCTTACAGCTGTAACATGTATGTTCAATAACTACGATTGTGTGGGCACATAAAGCCATTGAGTGGCTATTTGTCTTTGGGGGAAAAAATTTGTTGAGAATTTTACAGATGTCCCCCTTTTCCTACTCCACCCAGTTCTGTCTATAGGTAATGCATGTGTGCATATAAGTTCTTATGTTAATCTCTTCCTGCCTCCCCATTCCCCCCCAAAATTCATCAGTCTGTTCTATGCCTCTGATTCTATTTTATTCATCAGTTTATTTTGTTCATTAGATTCCTTGTTTATTTTGATTTTTAGATTCTATTGTTATAGATATGTATTTATTGCCATTTTGTTCATATTTTTTATTGTTCTTCTTAAAGAATACCCTTCAACATTTCATGTAATACTGATTTGGTGATGAACTTGTTTAGCTTTTCCTTGTCTGTGAAGCTCTTGATGTGACTTTGAATTCTCAATGATAGCTTTGCTGAGTAATCTTGGTTATACGTCCTTGCTATTCATCACTTAGAATATTTCTTGCCACTCCCTTCTGGCCTGCAAAGTTTCTGTTGAGAAATCAGCTGACAGTGGTATGGGTGATTCCTTGTAGGTAAATGCTTTTCAGATTCTCTGTCTTTAACCCTTGGCATTTTAATTATGATGTATTGGTGTGGGCCTCTTTGAGTTCGTCTTGTTTGGGACTCTGTGTTTCCTGGAATTGTAAGTGTATTTCTTTCTGTCATTTCTTCAAATAGGTTTTCAATACCTTGCTCTCTCTCTTCTCTTTCTGGCACCCCCATAATGCAAATGTTGGTACCCTTGAAGTTATCCCAGAGGCTCCTTACATTCTCTTCATATTTTTTGATTATTTTCTTTTTACTCTTGTGATTGGGTGATTTTTGCTTCCTGATATTCCAAATCACTGATTTGATTTTTGGTATCCTCTAATATTGATTCCCTGTAAATTATTCATTTCAGTTAGTGTATGCTTAATTTCTGACTGGTCCTTTTTCATGTCTTTGATGTTCTCACTAAGTCCCTTGAAGCTCTCATTAAGATCCTTAAGCATCCTTATAACTATTGTTTTGAACTCTGTATCTAGTAGTTTGCTTGCTTTTCACTTAGTTCTTTTTCTGGAGATTTCTATTCTTTCATTTGTGACGTGTTTGTCTCCACATTTTGGTTGCTTCTGTTTGTACGTATTAGGTAGAGCTGCTATGTCTCCTGGAATTGGTAAAGTTGCCTTGCGCAGGTGTCCTGTAGGGCCCAGCCTCCTGTTACCCGATCTGGGCATTCTAGGTGCACTGTCTTGTAGTTGAGCCTTGATTGCTGTTGGCATCACTGGGAGGAATTGATCCCTAGGCTGATTGGCTGTGAGGATCACCTGTGACTACAGTGGAAGAGCTGCTGTGCAGGAGACACCCCTGTGGATCAGGACTTGCTTTAGTGGGCTTTGGTACTCACTGACTCTGCCCCTTGAGTGTGTCACTTGTGGATGTGGTAGAGTTGTAATCTGGTGTGGTCTGAAGCTGTCCACTGGCTCTGGGGCCTCCTGGGAGATGCAAAGTCAGCCACTGCCTATGCTCTGCCTAGGGCCTCCTGGCACAAGCTACAGAGTGATCTGCAATGGCTGCTACTTGTATTGGGCTTGAAGGTGCCCAGGAGGCCAAATTGTGAACCAAGGCAGGCTGCTGCTAGTGCCAGGCCTGTGGCCACTTGTTGAGAGGTATGGGGTACACTGAGTCCAGCTGCTACTTATTTGATTTTAGGAGAGTCTGAAGCCTGAGCCAGGACAGGCCATTCATATGGAAAAGCAGCTGCAAATAGCTTGGGTTAGGCAGGGTTTCAGGGAATCACCAGGGTGGTCCGAACAGTGTGAGCCATGATGGAGACTCAGATATGGCATCTGCCAGTGGGCTCAGTGATGGGTGAGATCTCAGCATATGAATAATGAACCCTGCGAGCAACCTTGCCTGGGAGAAAGTTGCCCCTGAATTATTGCTCCGATGTCAGTCCAGTTTCTCCTCATATGATCCTGGATCCCCCACAAGCCACTGCTCCAGCACTGGAGCTCAGAGGGAGTGAATCCAAGTAAGACCATTTGCAAGCCCTTTAAGAGGAAGTGCCTGGTCTCCAGCAGCCTCCACATCACTCAGCCACAATCCCTGCTGGTTTTTATAACACCCAAAACCAGGGACTTCTCTTCACGGGAGGCCTTTGCAGCCAATTAAAAAATGCCACATGTGGGTGCAGGGCCAGCCTGTCCCATGCCCCCACCTATCAGTCTCGATGTGCTTTCTTTTTTACTTCTCTAGTTGTAGGACTTTCATTCAGCCAGATTTTAGGTGATGATAGTTATTCTGTATTTTACTTGTAATTTTGATGTGGTTGTGGGAGGCAGTTAATTCCAAGTTTAACTACAACTCCATCTTGGTTCTCCAGTTTGTAAAAATTTTCAATGGTGTGTGTATCTCAGTCTTGTGAGCATTTAGCATGTTTAAACATTTCTAATGTTAACAAAATTTAACTTCCAACAGTTTGACTGGATGAATCCTCCTGGTTAATAGTAATTCTACTTTAGACTTATTCATTTTGAACAGCCTGGTAAGCTGGAAAAAGCCCTTGAAAGAGGATATTTATAATGTGACTTTTTTTTCTGAATGGTATAGCAACCATTCCATTTTCAGGTACACAAAGGTAAATTCCTCTTAATTTTAATAAAAGAGCCTTCTATTACTAATTTCTAGTGCCAGACAGCTGAGTATGAATGGGAGAAGACTTTAAATGTATTGATCTATTAAATAACTTATTTTTTCTAGCAAATTAAATGAAGATCCGAAAACCTGTGTCTACCAAAGAAGAAAATTGCATTTTATCTTCACAAAGAGTTGTGGTACATTTTTAACAACCTGGTGTTACTTCTGTATGCTACTTGGTAATTAAGAAACTATTTTTTAAAAATAAGGCACATAAGAATAAGATAGAGCCAAAACACCTAGAACTTGTATGAAGTACACTTAAATTAAAAGCTATGTCTGTGGGAGATGGGTAGGGGGAAGGTGGCTTTCCTTCCTTGACATAAAGTCCCAACTTTTAGGTGAATTATTCTCAGACAAAAAACATATATACTAAGGTAAGAACTTGGTATGGTATCATTAAAGCTTTCAAAATACTCAAATTTATAATAGCATATTTATTAAAATTGTGGCCTCATTTATTAATGAAAATTGCTTATTCATAAACAATATGCTTAAGTTAGCATGAGTCTTGTATATAATCACCAAAAAGTTGAGAACAATTTTCACCATTTTCAATTTTCATTTAATTAATTTATTGGGGAATCTCATTCCCATGTGATAAAACAAATGAAGAGTGCAGCAAGCTTACCCACACCATGCAACTGTCTGCCCTTTGTTGAACAGTCGCTGCCTGATCTCATACATGCCACACTCTACTAGGCTAGATATGCTGTGGAAAGGAAGCACCTAAAGTTTTCACACTTATATTTCGTCTTTTATTATTGTTCAGATTTACTGTGAAGTCCTCAGAAATTGGGCTCCCAAGGCTTGGCTCACCTACTCACCCCCAATCTGCACTAAAAAAAGACTTGCTGCAACCACATTAGTGTCCCTGCCCTAGCAAACTGCATATATGAGAGGGTTTATACCCCTGCTTCAGTGGGAGTGGGAGTGCAAGTCATTCCTATTTAACCACAGGCACAGATGGCTTTAAGCAAGGAAGGCTTTTCTGTAAAGGGGCAGACAGTAAATATTTTAGGCTTGGTGAACTACATATGATCTGTTGCTTTTTTTCTCCTCCACAAGCCTTTAAAAATGTGAAAAACACTGTTGGCTCTGAGGCTGTGTAAAAGCAGGTCATGGATTGAATTTTGTTGAAATAAATTTCTAGGCCCAAATGAAGACTACTGCCTGGGGTACCACATCAGTAAACCAAACTTTGAATAAATTTTGTGTCCCTATAAATGCTCTGCTTGACCAGAAATATACTGTAACTAGCCAGCCAAACACCAAGCCAACTCTGGGCTCTATACTTACTTTCTTGTTCCTTATTCTTTATCCTTTAAAAGATTCCTGCCTTCTGCCCAGTGCTTAGGACCCCGGGACTGTAGACTGCCTGCTTCAGCAAGTGTTAAATAAAGTTTGTTTGAATCACCTAAATTGTCTTCTTTAATCATTTTAAACAGTTTTTGGTGACAAGGATGGAAGTTGACTGCTAATGGCCTGCAGGACAAGACACACAGGCGAGAAGCCCACTGAACCTTTTGAGTTCACTGTTCCTCTCGTCAAAGCTGAGGGCCGTTGGTAAGTCACTCTTGGATTTGAGCTCCACTCCCTTGTGTGTAGCTCTCCAATCTAAACACTTTATTTAAAAAAAATATTGTTCCCGGAAAGGTTCCAGGACAGTTATAGTGGAAGTCTGCGGTTAGTGGTAGCTGTTAGGAAACTCAAAGCCTACAGCATAAACTAAACTACTGGGAGACTTGGGGAACTAAATTAAGATTGTTTTAACCAATGGCACAACAAAATCTAAGTAGGCATACACCAGACAAGTAAAAGCCATTAGGGCGTCTGACACTATAAAGAAAGCTTCTCAGGAAAGGAATAATAAATCTATTGCTAATAGGAATCTCGGAAGCCAAAGCTGAAAAATGGTAGACACAGGTCAAACACTTGTAAGACGTTAGAGTACTCACCACTAAATCTAAGCCTTCTGTGCTAGGATAAGTTGGTTGTGGAATACATTCGATTGAAATTAGTTCACCTGCTAAACTGAAGAAAAATTCCAGTGAGGTACACTGTAAAACACCACACAATTCCCGACCCAGTGGCATTTCCCTCTTAGATATTCATTTGGCTTCGAGGTGGGGAGCCATTTTTCTGCTAAGGGACATATGGATATTTATAACATCATTTGAGGACCATACAAAATTATCAACTGTAGATATTTACAAAAATGGCAACTCTTACTGCAACAACCTAACATTACAATGACCATTATGGCGAATGTTCTAATTAGATAAGATCATTTCCTTACGAAGTGCACATGAAAGTAAGGGTTTCCAGATCAACCAGAATGGAATGCCTATTTTAGTTGGTATGCAGAACCCACCCCCCGCAAAGGATTCAAAATTCCAAAAGGCTAAATGAAAAATTAAAGACACAAGACGTGCCCTGGCTGGTTTGGCTCAGTGGATGGAGCGTCAACCTTTGGACTGAAGGGTCTTGGGTTCGATTCTGGTCAAGGGCACATTCCCAGGTTGCAGGCTCGGTCCCCAGTGGGGGGGCATGCTGGAGGCGGTTGGTTGGTGGTTCCCTCTCCCTCCCTCTCTAAAACCAGTAATAATTTTTAAAAAAATTTAAAAAGAAGACACAAGACGTACCTAACAAGACTGATGTGACTCCTATTCCCCTCTATCCTCACATTCCACTATTACTCTAACCGAATCATCTCTTCACTCTGGAGAGGACCACAAGGTCATAAACAAACGTCTACCAAATTAGTGGCCCTGCAACACCCCCAAAGCCATCAAGATACTGGCCCTAAAATCAGTGTCTCATTTGCAATCAGCTGGGACAGTGGAAGAAAGTGTCCTTGAAGGTTGCCAAATCCTTCTCTACCAACATCAACACTCTCATATCAACTCTCAAAGGAGGACTCCCATATGGGCTCTCCCCCAAACTGATGTGACTCCCTTAAACAGCCAGGGGAAACTAAAAGGAAAACCTTGCCAAATTCTGGTTGATATCAGAGCTATACCCTCTACTTTAAATTCTACTCACTAAGGAGCCTGCAAATGGGATGCTGGGGAAATTAGCAGAATCTGGTGAAGAGTGAGAATTCTTACCAAAGTCAGCTCTCCTGGTCAAGAGAGGAAACATAAGACAAAACCCAAATGGATATAAAGAAGTTGTAGAATGTGGAAAAGAAATTTTCTGTGTGACCAAGCTGACTAAGACTAGAATGGATTTAAGCTGTTAAAAAAAATTAGTTTTAATATCAAAAGTACACTGGTGCAAAAAAGAAAAGAAAAAGAAACAGCCCTGACCAGCCGTAGTTCAGTGGTTGGAATGTCAGTCTGATTCCCTCTCAAGGGCACATACCTTGTTTGCAGGTTTGATCCTGGGCCCTGGTCAGGAGGCAACTGAGCAATGTCTCTCTCATATATGTTTCTCTCTCCCCTTCACCCATTTCCACTCAAAAAAAAAAAAAATCAATGGAAAAAATATCCTCAGCTGAGGATTAAAAAAACAATTTAACAAAGCACACTGGTACAAAATTAGAATATTTTTTCTGTTAAAAGGACAAACTTTTCTTAGTCTATTGGTCTGATCCTAAGAAACTGCAAATAAAGTTTTTTTTTCTAGCTTTTAAGGAATCTACCTGGGAAGCAAAGGTTTTATCTTACCAAAATTAACTTAAAGCTCCCCCAAATCATATTCTAAAGCCTTTTTGACCTCGAACTAACTTGAGACATTCCAAAAAGGGTTAGGGGGGAGGCTGATCCCTTTCGACCCCTCCACTGTGTAGTTGAAAATCCATTTATAACTTTTGACTCCCCCAAAAGTTAGTAACCTACTATTGACCAGAAGCCTTACCAATAACAACAGTTAACACAGATTTCGTATGTTATAAAAAGTATATGAATTATATACTGTATTTTCTTAAAATGTAAGCTAGAGAAAAGAAAGTAAGGAAAATACATTTACAGTATTGAAAAAAAAAGTACTACTCTTTGTAATACTTTAAGCAATAAAAAAAAAAAACCGTATAAGTAGACTCACACAGTTCAAACCCATGTTCAAGGGTCAACTTAGAAATGTTAAACAAGAAATGTTGTTTATTTAACCTTCTTAGTTTATATTTGTATGGGTATAAGTTAAGTGGTTCCAGAAATTGTATAAAATTCCTAAAAACCAGGTATATCCTGGTATTTTGTTACATCACAGAAATAACCACATTTCCTTGTCAAGTCAATTATATAGTCTTTTGTCATTTACAGACAGTTATTGTTTTACTCCGATCCTTTTGCTAAAGTGAAATTCATGGAAAAGATCCTACATACTCTTGACTACTGACATCACTGCCAAATTTCAAAGTGTCAAACCTTAGTGTATATTTCATAACTGAAGAAGGCTCTACCTAACTTCTGGTACTTTGTAAACAATATATACACTTCAAAATCAAATTGACTAGGAAGAGAAGTAGCCAACATTGAGGTAGACTGCTGCTTCCCAGGAGGATCAAGACATTCCCTCTTTGACCATCCATTCCCTAACTTTTACACCATAAAGGTATTTATAATTCTTCAGTCAACCTTTTACTTCCCTTAACCTAGGAAGATGCCACTGTTCACACACATCAGGCCATTACAAAGGAGGGTAATCCAACTTCCAACACATACTTCTCCGATTTCTAATGCCTCAGTTTCTCTAAAACAAGCTTGCAGAATAATTCTGGGGAAGCAGACAGTTACATGAAATACACAAACAGGACAACTGCCTTAAAAAAGTATCCTCCTCTTTGGGATTATTTCTTGACTTGATTCTAGTTGGTTTGGGATATGGGAATCTTGGCTCAGGAGCACTCTCCAAACTGTGGGTATTAATAATCGTTGCTACTGTGTTCTCTCAAAAGTTTTAGAGCCACACTAGTACATTAAAAATAAACATAAACCTTTTGAATGGTCGAGAGGATGACCAAAAGGGAGTGGGGGCTGTTGAAATAAATTTCTAGGCCCAAGGTTGTGTCCCTGGAAAGTCTTCGCTTGACCAGAAATGTACTATAACCAGCAAGCCAGTTCCAAATTGCCAAGCCAACTCTAGGCCTCCAATTTCTTCTTTGTTGCTTATTTTTTATTCTATAAAAGCTTCCTACATTCTGCCCCATGTTGCAGTTCTCTGAATCCTTGGGAATGTAGATTGCCTGCTTTACTGTTAAAAGTTTGTTAAATAAAGCCTCAACAATCTTGAGAAAGAAGAACAAAGTTGGAGGGATCATAATACCGGATACCAAGCTTACTACAAAGTCACTGTTTTCAAAACAGTCTGATACTGGAACAAGAACAGGCATATAGATCAATGGAACAGAACAGAGACCCCAGAAATTGACCCAAGCCATTACACTCAATATTTCACAAAGGAGGCAGGAACATACAATGGAGTCAAGACAGTCCTTCAATAAATGGTGTTATAAAATTGGACAGATACATGCAAAAAAAAAACCAAAAAACAAAAAAAACCTAGACCACCCTATATCATACACAAGAATAAACTCAATGGATAAAAGATTTAAATGTAAGCTATGAAACAAAAATCCTAGAATCATAGGCAGCAAAATCTCAGACATCTCTTGTAGCAATATGTTTACAGGTACATTTCCTAGGGCAATGTAAACTAAGGAAAAAATAAACACATGGGACTACATAAAAATAAAAAGCTGCATAGCTAAAGAAACCAACAAAATGAAACGGAGCCCACTGTTTGGGAGAACATATTTGGCAATGATACATCTGATAAAGGGTTAATATCCAAAATATATAAGGAACTCATACAACTCAACAAAATGACAACCCAAATAAAAAATGAGCAAAGGACCTAAATAGACACTTCTCCAAACTGGACATACAGATGGCCCAGAGACCTATGAAAAAATGCTCAAAGTCACTGATCATCAGGAGAGATGCAAATTAAAACAACGAGGTATCACCTCACATCTGTCAGAATGGTTACCATCAACAAATAACTGCTGGCGAGGATGTGGAGAAAAGGGAACCCTGGTACATACTCTGCTGGTGGGGATGCAGACCAATAAAGCCATTATGGAAAGTATTAAAAAAAATTTCCTCAAAAAATTAAATGTGGAACTGCCATTTGACACAGTGATCCATTCTGGGAACATATAAGAGACCTGAAACACCAATCAGAAAGAATGTACTGCCCTAGCCGGTTTGGCTCACTGGATAGAGCGTTGGCCTGTGGACTTAAGTGTCCCAGGTTCAATTCCGGTCAAGGGCATGTACCTTGGTTGCAGGCACATCCCCAGTAGGGGGTGTGCAGGAGGCAGCTGTTTGATGCTTCTCTCTTATCAATGTTTGTAACTCTCTATGCCTCTCCCTTCCTCTCTGTAAAAATTCAATAAAATATATTTTAAAAAATGTACTAGTATGTACCCCTATGTACATAGCAGCCCTATTTACAATAGCTAAGATCTGGAAACAGCCCAAGTGCCCATCAGTAGATGAGTGGATAAAAAAACTGTGGTACAGCCCTGACCGGTTTGGCTCAGTGGATAGAGCATCAGCCTGCGGACTGAAAGGTCCCAGGTTCGATTCCGGTCAAGGGCATGTACCTTGGTTGCGGGCACATCCCCAGTAGGGGTTGTGCAAGAGGCAGCTGATTGATGTTTCCCTCTCATCAATGTTTCTAACTCTCTCCCTTCCTCTCTGTAAAAAAAATCAATAAAATATATTTAAAAGAAAAGCTGTGGTACATTTACCCCATGAAATACTATGCAGCAGTATATATATATATATATATATATCTTCTACACTAATAAAAGAGAAACATGGTAATTGGCGTACGACCGCTACCCTTCCCATTGGCTAATCAGCATATCCTTATGCAAATTAACTGTCAGCCAAGATGGCGGCCGGCAGCCAGGCAGCTGGAAGCGAACATGAGGCTTGCTTGCTCCAGTGACTGCAGACTCCAACGTTCCC